ATATATATATATATATATATAGATATGTATATATGTCTTAAATTTTATAAAACTGCATTTTTACGCCTTTAAAATAAAACCTTGGAAAAATGAACACAACCAACACAAACACAATGATTCCATTATTTATTTTGAATGAAAATATCTTTCAACTCCAGTATTGAGCAAGAGAAGAAAAACCTTTATTTTGGCGCAACTACGGAAAATACGAAGGAAAAGCATGGAAATCACATTGAGATGAAAAAGAAGGAAAGGTTTTCTTTTTTCGTAAAATAATAAAAAGTCTGTTGTGTCTGAACGAAGAGTTCACAAAAACAACAAAAGCGAGAAAAACTGAAACGTAGATTGTGGGTGGAAGATGGTATTGTTGAAGAGGGAAATATAGAGCACAACAAAGGAAAATATCGATAGAAATGAGTTAGGAAAATCTAGAAAAAGATAACAGAATAAATAAATTAATAATATCCATTTTAAATCCCTTTCCATTTAATTTATAATTTTACAGTATGCACGTTTCAGATGATAACATCAAATGTTAGCCACATTCATTATTTTCATTAGAATATTTTTTTTTACTTTATGTTTTAGCAGATATGTTGCTGAACATGTTACTATCTATAAGAGGAAAACAAAAACCATGCCATATTACTTATTACAAGACTCTATTATATTAAATTATTAATCAGAGTTGAAACAACATTCGAGCAGGGAGATAGAAAAAACCGCGGAGTCTGCGCAAAGTTATGTATTATAACACCTATTATGTGACTTTCCCTGTTTTTTTTTCTTCTTACAAGAGAGCATTTCTCTCCCTAGCAGAGGAATTACATAAGTGTTAGTATATTGCTCTGTCTGACTAATGCTAAAAATTGTCTGCCGCATTCGATATTGTTGTTTGTAAGACGTAAGCATCGAAAAACATTAAACATGCAATAGAGTAGAGTTAAGATGTTTTTGTAGTGTAAAAAACATCATCTTAGGTCAATGGAAGCTCCTTTGTGTGTATGTGTATTTTTACGTTTTGTTTCGGATTTTTCATGCGAGCAAACGTGGAGAAAAAAGTTATTGCGTGTTTTCTTTTGAAAAAACTAAATATTTCATTATTTTCTGAAATTTTGTACTGATCCATCAAAAGGTTTTGATATAATATTGTTTTGCTCAACTTCTGTATGAATGGATAGAAATTCTAGATTGACATTTTAAGGTGCATATATTTAATGCCTTCAATACTTAACCACGTACTTTTAATTTACTTCTTTATCTAAGAAATTGGCATAGTTGAAGGATAATCGAAAAAAGCATACATACATACATATTTTACTTTATATTTCTAATCGAGTAATGATTAATTTGTGATGCTGTAAAATATTGTACACTTTGATGAATTAATCATTCATTAATCAAATTATTCTTCTCAAGAGCACGTCAAAACAACACGGAGAAAATGCAAACAGAGGCTCATTTAGTTCAATACAGACAAGTGCTCGTTTAAATCCAAATTTAAGAAAAAAATTTCCATTCATAAAACCAAAAACCGGAAGTGAGTTCGAGGCATAATTTTTATAATTTTTTTACATTAATACACAGATTAAAACGTCTGAATCTCACAAACACACACAAAAGCTATAATTTAATGTCGATGTGTTAATGTCTTGGTTTCATTTCTGAAGTTCAAAGCATATTTTATAAAAGAAATCTTAGGACAAATACTATTTGTTGATTCTATTCTGATAGATTTATCGAATACCCTAATAATGAAAAATGCGTGAAAATTTTCACTACTCTCGACAAAAAAAGTTTTTCTTTAATATGGTTCATTCCACGTAAGACGAGAAAAAAACACAAGTCAAAACAAGTAAATTTGGCGCTTCGTTAAGTTTTATTGGAGGAATCTTTACTTCAGAGTGTTTAAAAGTTTCAATGAAAGTTTTTTAGATCAAGTAGTAAAATTGAACGCAGCGATTAGAATTGACTTGAATCGGAACAAGTCGAAAAATGAAACAAGATTTGTTCCATTTCTTATCATTTCAATTCATTTTTCGACATATTTTGCGACTTTTTCTTATTAAATTTATGGCTAGGTAGTCGAATCTCTGCCTCTGATAGTAAGTATGAATCATTTTATGATTTACAGAAATAAAATTTGACGAAGACGAATGAAATAAAATATAAAAAAATTACCGTTTGTCGAGATTCTGGTGGTTTTATTTTCCTTCTTGTGAAATTCTGTTTTTTTTTTGCTGTTGTCTCTCGTTATTTGTCACATACGAATGTTTGTTTCTTGTTCTTATTATGATAAAAAAGATTTGAATTTGATTTTTTACCAAAGTTTTTCAGAGTCACTTTATTCACTACACAGTAAATTCCATTAAATAGAAATCATTCTTGCATCTGTGGTTTCTTATATGATATTTTTCGTAACTTCTTTTAGAGTTGGATAATTATGATTAAGCACCAGTCTAACAATTTAATTATTGAACACTTCTTTCGAGAAGCACATGAAGAAATTTTTATGATCACTATTTAATTATCATAGAAATGTCACGTACCGATGCATGTGTTAGAAGTTATATTATTTCAGTTTATATTTAATTTTCAATTATTAAGAAATTTTATGACTTCACAAAAAGCCCACTGTTTCCAGATAGTTTTGCCGAATAAAATTTTTATCATATAACTTTGCAAGAGAAATTGTCAATAATTTCTTGATACATCCTTCTCTCAGAGCTAATCTCCATTGTTTTTTGTTTTCTTTATTCCTAATACAAATTAGGTGACGAATTTTTTAGTGTTATATCATTATTTTTTTTGTCTGTACAAAGTTTCTTTCCACCTTCTTGTACGATAATTCTTTCAACATAATAATACAACAGCATATAATTTAAGAAAAATAAGAAAAGTTTAATCCTGAAATATTTTCCTTTCCTGTATCTTAAAACTTGAATACGAATGAAGAAAATTTTCACCAACCACACCAAAAATTGTTGTTTTTACGAGTGCTCAATATTTCCTTCTATCTTTCTCACTCTCACCTACGCATTTGAGATTGTTTTTGTGCGCGCCAAATGAATCGACGTAGAAAACTCCAAAATTCGATAGAGATGGAGACTTTCGGATACACTGTTGGAAAATCGAGAAAATGTGAACATCACATTTAATGCAAAATACGAATGAGTTTTAGCTCGAGAACAACTCCACTTTGGTCTTTGCAATAAATAAAACGCAACGGCAAATAATACGTTTAATTATGAAAACTTTTTCTTTCCTTCTTTTACTTAAGGGCGATGATTAACAAAAATCCAACGTCTTTTCTCGGAATTTACAACACCATGATGAAATTCCACATTTCAATAACAGAACATTTTTAATATTTTTCGAAGCTATGATTTGTGTAATTAAATCACTTCCTGCTATAATATTCAATTAAAATTCAGTTTTCAAACTCTCAGAATATGTTTATAAACTATTTTTTGTCACTTTAAACTTTTAATATGCAATTTCTGTGTAACTTTTTCAATTTTAATTTTCAGCCAAGTTATTTATGTGTGATTTTTAAGATGTCCGTTCAATGTTTTCTGTTGGAAAGTGTCGTTGTGTAAAACTGCTAGAAAAATACGTCAAGAAATAAATGAAAACAATGTGTATGTGTAAGTGAGAAGAGCAAATTCAAAACAATTAGGGTATTTCACCGAGATTGGTCGTACATGAAATCGTGTCTAAATTCACATTCCAAATTTAGATAAATTATAATATAAATATTATAAATAAAATT